AGTTTGCCTAAGCTGGGACTTTGGGGTCAGCTAAGCATTCTCTAGGCCCCTCATCTTGGATCTGGGGAGGACTGGGCTGAGGACCACAGGGATGCGTGGCGGGATGTATAGGGATGCATGGAGGCGCCACAGAGGGAAACATACAGGCAGGTGGGCAGGAGACAGGTGCCACTGAATCTTCCTGAGTTTGGGGACAGGTAGAAATGCAAGGGTTTCCTCTCCAGGGTGGATAGGAGCCAGCAAAAGACCCCTCTCCCACCAGGGGGTGGGCAGCGCGGCATTCTGGGCAGCAGATGGCGGCACTGCATTAGGTCTGGGGTGTGGGCCTGGACTCTGCTCCACTCCTCGCGGAATGCATGCTCTGGGTATCCAGGAGGGCTCTACGCAGGTCAGCAGGAACCTGCCAATTTGGGGTGCTGGGAAGTCATCTGAGGGCTTCTAGGTACTCCTTTGTCCCTACTTATTTGCCCCTGGGGAAAGACCCATGATTCCCAAACCTCCACTGTTCCCTGGTATCTGAAGTACCATCTGCAAGAGACACAGTCTTGCTCTTTGGGACTAAGATGCAAGTAATACTGGTGGTTGAGCTACAAGGCTGGTGCCACATGAGGGGTCTTGGTAATTAAGCATTTTCTAGGCCCAACTTGTGGGCCAGACTGTGAAGAGCTGGCCTGAGGGTACTGGATCCTTTTAGGGAAGGGAAAGGAGGGAAGGAGGCACAAGGACTGGAAAGTCATGGTGGCTTGCAGCAAGCTATGGATGGGCTGTGAGGGAGGATTCTTTGCTTCAGGAGAGAGGAGTCAGGAAGGCTGGTAGGTCCACTGCACACAGGCACGTATAACATTTGTGTTTTGTGGTTGCAGGCAGGTCTTAGACAAAGCAAAGGCTAAGCTGATAAAACAGCCAAACGAGGGTTGAGGAAATTAGAGTTCCCCCCTCCCTGCCCAGAATCTCTGATGTATCAGGGACTGAAAAAGGCTGAGGAACTGTTCTAATCCAGGAATGACAAATGCATGGCATGTATGCCACCATCTAACAATCCTACTGCCATGGCAGACATAACTAATTGATGGTAGCTCACCCTTAGGCCAGACCATGGCCTCATAATCTGCCTTCACAACTCTCTAGGTGATAGCTACTCAACATTTTTTAGCTAAAACCACTTGGTTTAGGGAGATCTACAGCATCTGCCTCTAAACAGATGGGACCTCTGCTCATGAGTAAAGAATCTTCGGGGAAGAACGGGCCACATCCCTCTAGTCACTGCTTCGTGACCCTGACTTAGGGGGGAGTGGTGGTCAGGACTCCTCTGCAGGATGCACTGGTTCCACCTCCCTCCAGAATGAATCTTGGTAGATCCTCCCCATCCCTGCAGCCAACAGGTTCAGGAGGTCACCAGGGTGCTAGACCAGCACGATCTAGCTGCAAAGCCCTTGGGAAAAGCCTAGAGTGAATCCGCAGGGAGGCACCAGCAGAGGCTAGAGCCTGATGGTAGAAACATGGCCTCCTTCCCACCCTCACCTGCCCCCACATCATCTGGCTCTGTGTCTGGGAGGAGTGGAGGCAGGGCCCTGGGAGGGTTGAATGAAGGCAAGAACAGTACCTGTGATAAAGTAGCTGAGCTCAGCATTGAGGCCCACGTCATTGTCTGTGCAGTTCAGCCAGACCACCCGGAAGTCACGCGGCACGTCCTCAGACACTGACACGTTGTACATGGCCGGGAAGAAGGTGGGCGTCTCGTCATTCACGTCCAGCACTATAGTACAGAACGGTGTGCAGGGTTGGCCTTCATTCTGCCTCACACAGCCTAGCTCTGTAGCAGTGGCTCAGACTCCAGACCAAGTAGATCACAAATTTCTAAGCCATGGGCTCCAAGTGGCATGTGTGTCAACACCTCCTGCTCATGAGCCCAGGGCTGTCTATGCCCACTGGGGCAGGACCAAGCTGACTAGAGCTCCAGACCCTCCACTGTCCCTGTTCCTTGGGGCCTTGTTGCTGCTTGAGCTGTCACAGGGAGGAGAGGAAACCCCAGAGTTTCCCTCCAGTAAGTGCTTGACAACAATAAAGAAGGTGACAATGGTTCTGATGATGATGATGACAGTGACCATTTGTGAGTTCTCCCCATGTGCCAAACCCACGCCAAGTGCTTCCCATCCAGGACCACAAGTAGCCCTCACAGCTTCCTTACAGGCAGGCATTCTTAGACACACAGCAGTGCTGAGCAAACGGAAGCTCAGGGCAGCCCAGTGACTTGTCCAAAGTCACACAGTGACAGACTGGAGGGGTTGGAGTCTTTAGGAGCACTGCCCCCAGTTTGTGATGAGGTCTCAGGGAAAGGAGCTGGCTTAGAAGATTCCCCTCCCTCGGGTCTAATTTCCTGGAAAGATTTGATTTATCAGCTCTGCATGCCAGGCCCCTCCTCCTCAGGCAGATGAGCTTAGGGCGGTCTTCACATTGGAATGACCCCCCTACCCCACTGAGGCTACTCTATGAGATATTGCTGGGAGAAATAATGGGCTCATGTGATGGCTTCTGTTGAGCCTTGGAGAAAGGTCCTGGGTCATCTCTTTTTTAAGACTGGACATACTCCCTGTCAATCATCAGTGGGTCCTCAAATTGCACAAGGGGCCCACAGGCAAGCCTGGGAATGCCAAGAGAGAGAACCTTGGCTCTCTCTAATCCCTACCACTCTAGGTCTTCCTGGCTAACCACTCCCATTGCTCCTCCCATGCAGGCCGGCAGGAGCCAGGATGGGACAGAACAGGCCTAGTGAACAGGCCACTTCTTGCCTGTTAAGCTTTGCACTTATTTCCCTGAGGTTATTCCTGGCCTTTTGGCAATAGCTCAAGTCCCCATCTGGTCCTGAAAATTAAAGACACATCCAGAGTGGATGAGAAACAGTACCCAACCCCTGCACCAATACTGGCAGAATCCCAAGGGGATGAGGAACCTTAGGGAGTCTGGGAATCCCAGCTGCCCCTGCCCAGAGCACTGCCCTTTCACTGCTAGCCCAGGCACTGCACACCCACAGTGGAAGGAGTTCTCTTTTATACCTACAAACAAAGACTCTGGCCTTCTAAAGAGGACAGAGGACTCCGCAGCCTCTCCTGCCTGCTCATGAACCCAAGGGTCCCAACTCCTTCTTAAACCCCTCTGCTCGTTGCTGGGGTCAGAGGATAGGAGACCTTGACAGTGGGTCCAGCTCACTGCCCCTGGACTCCAGCGCACTAAAGGCAGGGGCCAGGTAGGGAGAAGGCTCTGCTGCCATTTTTAACTTGGGGGACATGGGGAAGGGTCCTGCTGTGTCAAATGGCTCCAGTTGAGGGGGCCACCTCATTAGTAAAGAAGCCTGTGCCCACAAGTCTGGCAGACAGCAGTGTGGGCTCCCTGCCCCATGGGACCCTGCCCCCAGCCTGTGCCCCTGTGCTCACCGCGGATGGTGAGAGTGCTGGTGGAGCTCTTGGTGGGCGTGCCCGCGTCGGTGGCCACTACCCGCAGCTGGTACTCGGCGATGCGCTCGCGGTCCAGCTCAGTGGTGGTGACCACCACTCCGCTACTGCTGTTGATGAGGAAGTCCATGCGGGGCATCCCCACCTGCATGCGGTAGGACACCAGCCCATTCAAGCCCTCGTCCAGGTCGATGGCCAGCACCTGAGGGAAAGGAGGGCTGCATGAGCAGGGAGGACACCAGGACGGACGCTTCTTCTTGAGAAGAGCCCCTCTTCCCCGCTGGCCCACACTTGGGCCACATCCAGACATACCTGCTCCCCTTTGCGCCTCAGCCCAGGCCACTATCCCCGTATACCCTCCCAGCAAAAGCTCTCTAAGGGAGCTGTGTGTCTGCGGAAAGGCATCCAGATACCCTTGGTCCACAAGTACTGAGGCAACAGGTAAAATGGAGAAGGGGGTTTTATTTATTTATTTATTTTGAGACAGTCTGTTATCCCAGGCTAAAGTGTGGTGGGATCAGCCTAGCTCACAGCAACTTCAGATTCCTGGGTTCAAGCTATCATCCTGCCTCAGCCTCCCAAGCAGCTGAGACTACAGGCATCTGCCATAATGCCCAGCTGATTTTTGTATTTTTAGTAGAGATGGGGTCTCCCTCTTACTCAGGCTTGTCTCAAACCCTTGAGCTCAAGGGATCCTCCCGCCTTGGCCTCACAGAGTGTTAGGATTACAGGTGTGAGCCACCATGCCTAGTCAAGAGTCAAGGTCCCTACAGCCTTCCCTTTTAATATTCTGCTCTCCCCATGAGGAAACCCTCTTGGATTTGTTCCAGCAGTTGGACCCTCCTAACTCTCTGGCGCTCAGCAATCTCCTATCACCCTCCTTCCCTTGTGGTGCTGGCACGGAGCAGCCGTTAGAGCTCACAGACCTCTTCAATTACCTGAAGTTCACCTATGCAGAAGGCTCAATTAACAGGCTTCCCTTCCCTTGCTCTGTTTTGATTCATAAGACAACAGCAAAAATAAGATGATATCAAGGATTATCTTTTAAAAGCCACTTGAGGATTTCATTACTGAGCATGGCCACGTGAGGCTGTGTGCAGGTAGGGTTTCTCCTGAGTCCCTGCACTGTTCCCATTCTCGCCTCCAGTCTTGATCATAGGGAGCCCAACTCATACTCTGGAAGTTTTACAGAAGCAGACTCAACATAAGGGGAAAACATGTAATAATAGTTAAAAAAAATAAGAGCTTTGGGCTCAGTCCCTGTAGCTCAGCAGCTAGAGTGCCAGCCACATACACCGGAGCTGGCAGGTTCAAATCCAGCCCAGGCCTGCCAAACAACAATGACAACTACAACAAAAAAATAGCTGGGCACTGTGGCAGGCGCCTGTAGTCCCAGCTACTTGGGAGGCTGAGGCAAGGGAATCGGTTAAGCCCAAGAGTTTGATGTTGCTG